CAGCAAAAACAGTACAATTTTGAAATATTTTTACTATTTAAAATAACAGCTTTCTATCTGAATATATTTTCAAATGTAATTTATTCCTGTGATTAAAGCTGAATTTTCATCATCATAACTCCAGTCTTCAGTGTCACATGATCTTCAGAAATCATTCTAATATGCTGATTTGCTGCTTAAGGTGTGTGTGTGTGTGTATATTATCAATAAAAATTATTATTCAAGTAATAAATTAATTATTAAATAAATAATTAAATATAAAAAAAATAAATAAACAGTGTTTCATCATGTGACCGTGATCATTCAGTTTTTGCAAAACTCAAAACCTAAAGTCATGAAGCTCATAAACTGCAGCAGATCCATTGTTTAATCTGAGACTTGTTTAACAGCCTGTTAACTGCAAAAACAAATAAAAACCAACTGCTGAGTCAATGCCAAAACCATCACCCGTATCTGATGTGTGCGCGACTACAGACAGACAAAGATCCTGCAGAAACACTTTCCTTCTGTCATCTTAATGGTAGATTAATACCGAATGATTCCAAAATTACTCTCTGTCTGCTGACTAAGCATTTAAACCTGATCATTCAGACTAAACTCTGATTGAATGAGGTGCGTTTGAGGTCGTCACACATGTTCTACATTAATGCACCTCAAACACTGCATTTCATGAATGAACAGAGCCTCACTGACCCAGACAGCGCATGGCATCGCTCCAGACTCTGGCCTGCGGTTACACTCACAGCAGCAGCATGCTAATCAGGTTGTGGCTAGAAGGCAGGGATGGACTGGGAGTAAAAAACAGCCCTGGATTTTCTCCCAAATAGGCCCACCACAACTACAAACAGTCGCTACTATCTCACAATATTACAGTAATCCTATCGCATTTATGGCAAATAACATCACAAAACCCATGGTGTCCCTGCTGGCAAAAACAATAGAAACCATCAAAAAAAATTGAATGATTTCCACTACAATTACCATTACAAACCATCAACTTTTAACCATTAAAACCATTAAATAATGGTTTCCTGTAGTGTGTTTTTGGGACATATTACATTAGGATTTAGTGGCTTTAACAAGAGCCATGAATAGAAGGTGATCAATTACCAGTAGAGACCAACAGGCACCATTACAGTTTCCATTAAAACCAATACAATTTTCATTACAACCAGTAAAACCATTACAAATTATGTGATGCTTTCTGTTTTTTTTTCAACAGAGGATTGAAATAAATGTATTATTGTATGAACTAAAATACTTGAAATCTACATAAAAAGAGCAGAATGCAAAATGTATATGACAATGATAAACATAAACCTAGAGTCTAGAAACCTGAAACAACAGAATTCTTCAATTTGAGTATTCATACGTCTCTGTGTGTGTGTGTGTGTGAGAGTGTGAGAGTGTGTGTGGACTAATCACCTTATTGGCTCAATTTTCGAACTCAATAGCTCTCAAATGTAACCCGTTGTAGAATCGCTGCTGTCTCTTTATGAATGAATGTAATATTCATGCCAGACAATATGGAGTGATAAATAGCAGTGGACGCTCGGACTAGGGTTGTCCTGGGATTTTACTATAGTGCTATAGGCTACATGTTGTGTATAGTGAGAGAGGCGGGGAAGGGTAACCTGATGTAACTGTTCGCTTTTTTTCCTTTTAGCTTCTCCCAACCACCTTTATCTTCACGTCTTTTGCTTGCAATCACGAGTTCACTCTCCTTCGCGTCAGTTTCGGTTTCTTATAAGCAAAAATAGATTGCATTAGCACCCCCTTTTGTCGGCCATATAGTGAGAGAGGCGGGCAAAGGTAACCTGATGTAAAAGCGTCTGCTAAATTACTAAATGTAAATGTAAAATTATGTAACTGTTCGCTTTTTTTCCTTTTAGCTTCTCCCAACCACCTTTATCTTCACGTCTTTTGCTTGCCATCACGAGCTCACTCTCCTTCGCGTCAGTTTTGGTTTCTTATAAGCAAAAATAGATTGCATTAGCGCCCCCTTTTGTCGGCCGTCAACGTCACTTAATCTGACACTTTTTCTTTGATGATGAACCGGCCAGGTTCCACCGTCAGATGGACTTCTCCAGAACATCCAGATGGCCAGTCCGCCCCTGCTAGAAGGGATACAGCTATGGCCAGAAAACAACAATAAATAAAATTTGCTACCTATTAGATTGTGCTTTATTAACGTCTACACCTACCCCAACCCAATACATAACCTTACAATAATGCAAATACAGTAATAAACTGTGATGCAATATTGATGTGCACATGTTCAGCAGGACAATCTGGCTGTAGCTGTATCTCATCTAGCCTTAACCCCGCAGCCAGAAAAGAGCCAAGATGGCGCCGCGCATGGCTGCCTAGGTTTGTAGCTCATATTTTTGTTTGTTTGTCCGACAGCGTGGTTTTAGGACTCTAAATCTGGCGAATCTCCGCTCCTTAGCAAATAAATCAGACGAACTACTACTCCTCACCCGCACAAACAAGGACTTTTTAAACTCTGCTGCGCTTTGCTTCACGGAAACCTGGTTGACCGGAGCCATCCCGGACAGCGTGTTACATCTAACGGGCTTCCAGCTGTTTCAGAGCGGACCGCGTCACCGAGTCGTCGGGGGAAACGAGAGGCGTGGATTATGTTTTTATATCAATGAAGGCAGACGTGTGTCAGGGAGTCATCACAGTCACTTCAGTCACCATCCAGGATAATTACCCGATCACAGTCACCTGAGTTCTGATCACCCGCACCTGCTGTCACCAATCAAGCCACACTACAAATACACACACAGCACAGCCACTCACTGTCCGGTCTACCGTTCACTCCTACGAACTACTCTGGACTCCCTCTGCCCAAAATCTCCTAGAACGAATTACCTGCTGTTCCTCCCACGATCCTCCAACGACTCCGTGGAAACGGTTCCACGATCTCCAACGTA